ACTAAAAATCATATTAAGAGAAGTCTTAAATGATAAATTTCCGGTAATAGTTATAGACTAACAAATATTAAAAATAAAATTGATTTTAGTTTATTAAGTAATTCATGCAAATAAAAGACTTTTAAAACCATTCAAATTATTATAATAATAAATTTAATATCTATGAAAGGGCTGTATTAAAAGATATATATTTAAATAAATATCTGCACTAAAATACAAAAGTTTGTGAATTAAATCCTGAATAGAGCCTGAATAAATAATCGTACGGAATGCAAAAATTTTAATAATGACAATAAATAATTAATCATTTGAATAGTAAATCACCTTCATTACTATACAAATGAATAATTGTTTAAAAAGTGAAGGCTCCAAGGACAGTCATTATAAGCATACAACTTATGAATCTGTACTCACATTAGATCCAAACGAGGAGTTAATTGTCATTTGAGTTAACACTAAAATCATAGACTTTTTTCAAATGAGCGAAACAATAGCTAAAATACACTAATTTTTGTCGGAAATAACTGTAAAATTGATGGAAAAGAGTGATATGAGTAAGAAGATCGACGATTGCGACGATAGGGAAGGACTGAGTTGTGGGATCGGTAGTTGGCGACCGGAATGGCTGCAGAAGTATGCGACTCCCCGGGTGTTTCTCATCAACTTCTCATTGGTGGCCATATTTCAAGGCGCGAGCTTCACGTATCTGATTGGGTCGATGACCACTCTCGAGAAGAAGTACAGCTTTGAGAGCAAAATATCGGGACTTATACTCATCGCCGACAACATCAGCCAAATGATTATCAACCCATTCATTGGCTATTTGGCCACAAAGTACAACCGACCGATGCTTATGGCGATCGGGGAGATGATCGTCGCGTTGGCCTGTTTTATGTCCGCCGGTCTGACCCTTTGAACACAAAAAAGTTTGTCTTAAAAACTAACAAATTGTATTTTTAGCGCCATTTTTCATATACGGGGCCAATTATAATCTCAACAGCGATCGCATTGATAGAAATGTCAGCTCAAGTAAGAAGTTCCCAAAATTATACTGTACATTCACTTAAAATAATCTGGATAAATTTTAACTCTAGCTTCCCTTACGGATAGTACATATGATTTATGCGATAAAACCCGTAATATATCAGCCATTTGTGCCGCAAATGAAAGATCAGTTACTAAATGGCCGGCGGTTATCATACTATTTGCGGCCAGTTTTGTAAACGGATTGGGATATACCGGTTAGTTATGTCGATATATTTGAAGTAAGGTCTTGCTTTAATATCAATTATAATAGCTTTCTATACGATTGGTTTGCCATATATTGACGACAACACCAGTAAGAAGAGCTCTCCTCTATATCTGAGTTTTACGGCTTCATTAAGACTGTTGGGCCCATCGTTGGGTTTCTTACTCTCCTCCTTGTGTTTAAAGTATTACGAGAATCCGTTTTGTGAGGCATTTGTCAAATCATTTGATTTACATCGAGATTAATATACAGTATATTTGTATTGAACTCTAGATAGCCCTGATATATCCCCTACTGACCCTCAATGGGTGGGTGCCTGGTGGATAGGGTTCGTGGTGATCGGCATATTCCTCATATTATTCTC